TTTTTTTTTTTTTTTTTAATAAACGCATCAGATGGCTAGAGAGGGGAAGGAGAAAGGAGTGGAAAGTTCTGAAACTATAAGCTAAGGAGTAGAGGGAGAGAAAAGAGTGAGAATACTGTGAAGAAGGTGTGTGAAGTCTCTATTTAAGATGTTAAAAAAAATCTGAAATCCCCTCCCATAATTCGGTATCAATGCGCGATAATGGAAAATAAAGGCTAATTATGTTTGGAGGTTTCAAAATTAAAACTTAATTTAAACATAAGTTAAGTGCTATACATGCACGAGAATTAGAGGTGGCGGTTTGATTACTTAGCGCTTGAATACAAATTTAAAAGCCCGACCCGGTTCGATACTCGGTTCGGAATTTAATTCGGAATTTAATTCGGCTCGATAGTAATTAAATACACTAAGCACATAAGAGCATATAATCACGTATTAATTAAATCATCGAGCCCGAAAATTAATCAAAATAAAATAAAATGATTAAAAATATTTCAAATAAATTCGAAACAAATGGGGCGCTACAATATTGTTTTATTTATTAATTAAATACTGAGTACATTAAATATTAAAAATAGTAAACTAGAATCCAATAAATAAATAAATTAAAAATTAAGTAAAATAATATTTTTTTTTTTTGTTTGTAATCACTATATATTTAAACTGTAAACATAATTTCAATAATAAACGTATAATTAAAATAAATAAAAATAATAAAAATAAATTAAATGGATTTAAATAAAAAATAAAATAAAATGTTGATGTGGCAGCGTTTTGCCAAAAAATTAAGTTCGTGTATCCGGTTGCCAAAAAACCAAAGGTGGTGTATTATACTGCCAAGGTTTAACTGATTTGGCTGAGTCAGACTTCTCGGTGACGTGGCCGTTAAAAAATTGCTACGTCAGCTTTCCGTTAACAGACGTTAAATCCGTGTATCGAGTTGCCAAGAATAGAAAAGTCATGTATTTATTTGCCAAGGTTTAAAAGTCGTGATTAAATGGCCAATCAAGTTGTGTATTTTCCCTCCATTATGCCTTTATTATTTAATTCCACTAAATAGGAATTAATTTTATTCCATATTAATTAATTAATTAGGAGAATAAAATTCTTACTAGAATCTTCTCTTGAGATTAGAAGACTTGAGAGTCTTCTAGAAGATGGAGATTAGTAGGAAATAATTTCCTACATTATATTTTTAATTAGAGTAAAATTAGGCTTCCTAAATAAGGAATTAGTTCTATTCCATGGTTATTAATTTAATTGGGAAAGATATTCCTACAAGGATCTTTTCTAGTGTTAGGAGACTTAGGAGTCTTCTAGAAGATGGAGATTAGTAGGAGATTTCCTTCCTACATTAAATTAGTATTGGAGTAGAATTAAGATTCCTAGGCCTAATGGAATAAGCTCATATTTAGCACCTCCTTAAGGTCCCTAATGGAGCCTATAAATACACAATGTCCCAACCTCTCCTACAAAATTGTCTTGGCCGATTTTTCTCTTCTACATACACGAGAGAATAACATTGTTCGAGAGTTAGGAAGATTCGATTAAACGCTCCACCAAGTTTAATCGAAGTAGGTGTTTAGGTAATCCGTTAGAAGGCTTTTGGTTACAATTTATTCGAGCCTTTATATTTATATTTTCCGGTCATCATCATCACCTTATCCCCGCCCATCGCCGCCATGATCCACTGCCGGAAAATCCCATCGCCACAGGAAGCCATCCGCGACCAGCCGATCGCTACCGCGAGTCGCCACCCGCAGTCGCGCCCAGCCAGTCGCCATCCCAGCTCCTAGCAGCGACGCCCAGGACCGTTGCACGAAGGCCCGACGCCCGTTCGTGCGATCACCGATCATTCCCAGGACGCAGTCGTGCACCGCCCGTTCATCCCTGCTGCTCGCAGTCGACGATCGCGCATCCCCAGCATGCAAGGAGTACGCGTGCAGCATCCCACGAACGCCCGGGAGACTTGCTCCGCACGCACGCGTGACCGCACTGATGAAGATCGTGTGTTCGGCCTTTCAACAAGCCACGCGAGTGCCTTAAATCGAGATAGGGTCTCGAAGATCCGCGTCCACAGTCCTTCGAAACAAGTAAAATTACAATTGAACTCAAGGAAGTCTTTGCAAAGTGTTTGAACAAAAGTTCGGATTTTTTGTATTAAGAAGAATCAATATATCTCTAAGTAACAATGCTTGCGCCTATTTATAAAGCTAAAAAATAAAGATCTAATCCTATTCTACTAAGGCTAATCTACTTAAACTAGGAAAGCAATAAAACTTAAGATATCCTACCATACTAGGAATTAAGGAAAGAAAAGGATTCTAATCTAATGAATCCGCTTGCGTCGCCCAACCCTGCCGCCATTGTGCGCGTGCCGGACTCCCGCGCCCACGTCATCTGCATCGCCTATTCCTTGCGTGGGTAGGTGCGCTCGCGCGTGAATCCCCTTGGCTGTACTCGCGCTATCGCGTCCTTGGTCGAAATTCTCCCGCGCGTCACCGCTCGTGAGCGCATGCCCGCTAACTAGTTGGGCCTCGGCAGTCTGGCGGCTTAACCTCCGCCGTGCATGATAAGCGCGGCTCGCCGCATTATTCAGCCTTCTTGCCGTGTTCTCATCATTACCGTCCCCTTCAAGTGCTTCCTTGTCCTCAAGGATGAAACCAGGAAATCTTTCGCGCATCTCGTCCCAACTTTCCCAAGTTGCCTCTTCACTCGGCAAATCTTCCAATTCGACGAGTACTTCCCAAAAGTATTTTCCGACCCTTTTGATTTGCCGGTACTCGACCGTGCGGCCTGGCTTGACTACAACTTTTCCATCCGGTGCAACAGCGGGTAGCTTATCCTTCGCCAATTGCGCCTCGCCAAGACTTCGCTTGAGCTGCGAAACATGTATGATCGGATGTATATGAGAATCACCCGGCAACTCAAGTCGATAAGCAACCTTCCCGATCTTGGCCAAAATTTTATAAGTCCCATAGTAACGGACCCCAATTTTGGTCGCGGCCCTTTGTGCGGTCGTCCGTTGCCGAAATGGCCTTAGTTTTAAGAACACCAAGTCACCGGGCTCGAACTCCTCGTCGCGCCTCTTTCCATAGTGGTACGCCTTCATTCGATTGATCGAGCCCTCAAGTATTTTCTTAAGCTCGCGTAACATAAAGTCGCACTCGACCAACTCCCGATCCACCTCATCGTTCATGGCACTACCCATCGAGTAGCTCACAATTGTCGGAGGTTTGCGCCCGTACACAAGCTCGAACGACATTGCCTTGGTCGAGCAATGGTAAGTAGTGTTATACCAGTACTCGGCCCAAGGCAAGTAACTCTTTCACCTTTTTGGAAATTGATGCACGTAACACCTAAGATATTGCTCGAGCGTGCGGTTGGTCACCTCCGTTTGCCCATCATTTTGCGGATGATAGGCCGAGCTCATGGAAAGCTCGGTCCCTTGCAACTTGAAAAATTCCGTCCAAAAGCTACTCATAAAAATTCGATCACGATTGGACACAATGGAGCGCGGTACTCCATGTAGCTTCATCACGTATTCAACAAATTACCTTGCAATTGACTTAGCCGTGTACGGATGCGTGAGAGGAATAAAATGCGCATACTTGGTAAGGCGATCGACGACCACCATGACCCCATTGAACCCATTCGAGAGCGGCAGCTCTTCGATAAAATCCATGGTAATGTCTTCACAAATTCGCGCTGGTACGGGTAATGGCTGAAGTAACCCTCCCGGTTGCCGCGAGTCCGCCTTTGTGCGCTGACACTCATCGCATCACGCGATATAGTTGCACACGTCTCCTCTCAGTCCAGACCAATAAAACGTGCTCGCAATCCTCATCAAAGTCTGGAACACTCCCGAATGTCCGCCAAATTTTGAGTAGTGGAAGTGTTTGATAACACGCTCACGCAATGAGCTTGTCTCGGGCACGACAACTCGTCCATGATAAAGGAGCAGGCCATCGTGCACATCGTGGTCGTCATCCTTGTCCTTGCTCTCGATCACCTTCTTCACTGTGTCTCGGCAATGGGTATCTTCCTCTTGCGCTTTCCAGAGTTCGTCCCAAACCGCCCACGTTGGTCCCGTCACGGCGTCGAGCTCCGCAACATCCTCTCGCCTCGACAATGCGTCGGCCACGGTGGTTTGGCGACCGGGCCAATACACTATCTCGAAGTCAAACCCCATTAGCTTGGACACAAACTTCTGTTGCTCGGGCGTCACGATCCTTTGCTCGAGCAAGTGCTTGAGCGGTTGTTGGTCTGTGACAATGCAGAAGTGTCGCCCGAGTAGATATGGTCTCCATACGCGCACGGCCTCGACCACGGCCAGCATCTCCTTCACGTACGCGGACAGCCCCAAGCGCGCCGGCCCAAGCGCCTTGCTAAGATAGGCCAAGGGCCGCCCTTCTTGCACTAGGACCGCTTCTATCCCAATGTCGCTCGCGTCCGAGTGAATCTCGAACATTACGTCAAACCTCGGCATCGCGAGCACGGGTGTGGTCGTCATGGCTTTCTTCAACTCCTCGAACGCCATCTCGCTCGCCTTGGTCCATTTGAAAGCCCCTTTCTTTGTCATCTCCGTGAGCAGCTTAGCGATAGTCCCATAGTCCTTCACGAATTTGCGATAATAGCCCGTAAATCCTAGGAACCCTCGTAATTGCGTCAAGCTCGCGGGCTTTGGCCACCCCACCATCACCTCGATCTTCCTTGGATCCACCTTAACACCGTAATGAGAAATAAAGTGCCCAAGGTACCGACCACCTCTTGAGCAAACGAGCACTTGGACGGCTTGATATAAAACGAGTTAGCCGCAAAAAACTCCAAAACAACTCGTAAGTGCTCGAGATGATCTGCCCATGTTCTCGAGTACACCAAAATGTCATCAAAAAATACTAACACAAACTTACGTAGGTACTTCTTAATAATCGAGTTCATGTCAAATTGAAAGGTCGACGGTGCATTGCACAACCCGAAAGGCATTACGAGGTATTCGTAGTGCCCTTGGTGTGTGCGAAAGGCCGTCTTTGGCACCTCGCTCTTGGCCAATCTGATCTGGTGGTAGCCCGCGCATAAATCGAGCTTTGAAAAGTAGCATGCGCTTCCAAGCTCTTCCAACATGTCGTCGACACTTGGTATAGGAAAACGGTCCTTCACGGTTTCCACATTGAGTGCGCGGTTGTCTGTGCAAAACCGCCAAGTGTCGTCCTTTTTCTTTGCGAGCAACACCGGTGATGAGAACGGACTCGTGCTGTGCTGAATGAGCCCAAACTCGAGCATCTCGCCCACTTGCCGCTCGATCTCCTCTTTTTGGAAGTGCGCGTACCGATACGGGTGCACGTGCACTGCTCGACCTTCCTCGACCAAGGGAATCCGGTGGTCGAACTCCCGATTCGGCGGCAACCCCTTAGGCTGGCCAAGGACTTGGTCGAACTCTTTGAGCAAGTTGTGCACCTCGCGCTGCCTTTCCTCGATCATTCCCGCTTCTTGCCCCGTCCGCTCGACCACAACGACAAATAACTGCCCACCACATCGCCACACTTTCTCAATATTCTCAAGTCCAACCTCCTTGGTCAATACTTCGTTCGCCTTCAAGGTGACTAGCCCATCACCGGTCTCGAACTTCATCACGCCCTTCCGGTAGTTGGTCGTCACGTCACCGAGTCCTTCGAGCCATTGCACTCCAAGCACCACATCCGGCCCTACCAATGGTAAGGCAAACAGGTCCGCCTTTACCGTTACTCCTTAGAATTTGATTGGCACTCCTCGGTACACCTTCGAGCACCGCAGTCGCTCACCATTAGCCACCCGCACCTCGAATGGCTCGACCATGGACGTGGGTAGTTTAAGCTTGTGAGATAGCGTCGCATTAATGAAGTTGTGCGACGACACCATTTTCCACGAGCACAGTCACTCGCCGGTCCTTCACCCACGCCGGCAAACGCATCGTCCTCGGGGCCTTGGTGCCCGCCATTGCGTGCATGGAGATTTCGGCCTCATCATCGAGCACCTCGACCTCCTCCACTTCCCTTTCCTCCACAAATTCTGGCTCCTCGTCACCCGAATCCACAAACTCGATCAGAAAATTTTGCTTACATTTATGACCCGGGGTGAACCTTACCTCGCACTAAAGTACAGTCCCTTCTTACGCCTCCGAGCCATCTCTTCGACCGTCAATCGCTTGATCTCCGGAACAGGGGGTCGAATGTTGCTTGTTGGTTTGACCCAGGTATTGAATGTGCTCGAGCTGATCGGCACCCGACGCAGTTCCGGGCCGTGGAGATCCGCCCGTCCCCTTCGCGTCGCGGCCAGGTGCTCATCGCCCCGCCGAGCGACTTCCATCGCCTTTTGCATGGTGTCTGGTTGCTCCAATCGTACCTCCACAGCCAAATCGTATCTAAGTCCTCTAATAAAGGCAACGACCAAGGCACTCTCGGGCCACCCTCGAACGCGGCACGCAAAGCGCTCGAACTCCTTTTGGTAATCGCGTAGAGTGCCCGTATGCCTAATGCGCGAGAGCGCCTCGTCATAGTTGAGGTAACTCGACGCTCCAAACCGCGTGAGTAATTCTCTCTCAAAATCGTTCCACATGATCGGTTGATTGAGGGTCCCGTATATGCTTGTGAGCCATTGCCACAACACGTTGGCCTCCCCGTCTAGGTAATAGGCTGCATACCTGACCCAGTGTCTCGTCGGCGTCTCGTTCAATTTAAAGTACTGCATCGCCCGATTGAGCCAAAGTACTGCCTCTGTCGGGTCCTCCGGTCGGTCTGTACGCCCTTCCCCTTCCTCTTCTTCTCCTTCGTCGGCTGGGCAGCTGGTAGAGCTGGTGGAGCTGTAGATGACTGGGTGTGACCGAATGGCTGAGGACTATCATGGATGGCCCCCCTTCTGATGCTAGCGTCCACCTCCTAGGCAATGGAAAACTGCACGAGCGTACGTCTGGGTCCCGTGACCTACAATATTATGACGGACTGCTGGGTAATGTCCATCAATAAAGCGTTGTGCTCTCTAGGCCTCCGTACGAACCAAGTCAGGAACAAAAGCTGAAAGTCTGGTAAACTCTCTTTCGTACTCGTCTACAGTCTGAGTACCCTGTTTGAGCGACAGAAACTGACGCTCCATCTCTGCTCTGTAGTAGGTGGGGTAGTACTTCTCGCGGATCAGCTCCTTGAGCATATCCCATGTACATCCCGCCTTCTCGCCGGGACGCATGCTCCAGTAGGCATTCCACTAGAGCCGGGCATCACCGGTTAGCTGAAGCTGAGCACAGATTACGCGATATCTGTCTGGACAATCCATGACCTCGAAGATAAACTCAAGGCCCTGAATCCACTCGTCCACGATACGGGGGTCTCCCTGCCCGGAAAATTTCTCAGGGTGATAGTCGCGAAACTATGCGACCACCGTGGCCTGAGGAAGAACTGGGTGATCGGGTTCCCTACGGGGCGACATCTGAACATTGAAAAAGTTCAAATCATTGAACACATGAATAATATTCTGACTGCTTTCTAAAGTACACAAATCTCTTGACGAGTTGCTAAAAATGGCCGGAACATACTGAGATAGATCCTGAAAACGTCTAGAGTTATATCTGAGTACACTGAGTTCTAAAGTCTGATCCTGGTTCGAACATCTTAACTAAGTCATGATTTAATAATTTCTGAGCATAGACAATAGTAATATGTTTATAACTGAAAACATTAATAAGCACTTACCTGTAGTCGGCGAGGCGTGAGCATGACGGTTCAGGTTTTCTGAAAATTTCTGACTTATAAAACTTTTCAGAGACACAGAAACGTGCTCTGATACCAATTGTAACACCCCGCCTTTTATAGAAATATCAGAGTACGCATTTTCGCAAATTTACTGAATAATTTAATAAAATATTAATTTTTGTGAAAAACTGACTCGGAGTGTTACCGTGAAAATCTGACTGAAAAACCGTTAATTTTAAACTGATAATAAAAACAGTTTTATAATATTTTAACCGACTAGTGTCGGACCAAAAAGCTGAGTTTAAGTATTGAAAGTTTTAGCGGAAATATAGCGTGGCAAAAACATAGTTTATACATCACAAAACAAATGTCCTGAACAGCTCGTCAGCTCACTCCTCGTCCCCGACTCCGTGACCTGAAAAACATGAAATATGTTGGACGTGAGCACTAAAACACTGTGCTCCGTGGAAACCCATACTAAAGTAAAACA